ATGGCCCTCGATTATTCTGTCCCAAAACAAATTCTTTAATTCCATATCTCTTACTGTAGGAAGGATTTGAGGAAACTGTGGATGTTTTAAAAAAAAAAAAAAAGTCATAATGACAGATGCTGCCATTGTGTGCCAATTTCTTGCATTAAGCGCTTTGCACGCACATATGCGGAAAACACGGAAAACAGGTGACAGTGTCCTGTCAACACTGCTCTCGGTCAACCAGAAGGCACACATGAATAAAAAAAAACAGAGAGAAAGAGGTGTGTTGATATCTAGACAAAGAAATCTGACTTCTTGGGTGAACATTGATTGGTTATACATTGCGAGAAACAAACGTAAGTCAGTGATATGGCATCTGTGTGCATGTGCTTGTACTATGGTATGTCTTGGCGCTCCACTCTGTCTGACGATGCGAGTGCCTACAACACCAGGGGCATTAAGATAATCGAATCATTCACAGAAGATCCCTGCATGAGCCAACACCTGACACACAAAGGGTCATGCAATTTGACAATGCAGTTGACTCAGTGAAGAGTGATGAAGGGAATCTCTGTTGGTGCCATTCAAAATGTTATTTTCAGCAGAGAAGCACTGTTGGTTGAATTAGTGATTTTGTCAGTTATTTTATTTAGTTTGAGTCCAATAACAAATATCCTTGTTAGTTTTCAAATCATATTTAGTCAACCTTATCCTGTTTTGGGCCATCTGGTCCCATCTTTGTCAAAGAAAACTAGACTGAACAACTTTCATAGGAATTGATGGGGTCCTGCCTCGCTGTTCTCTTTATAAAACCATGGTGAGCATGCATTTTCTTTGTAAACTCTTTGCTCGATAGCACCATAGCACTACTAGTGGTACAAAAATACAAAGGGTACCTTGCATGGGAATGACTTTGTGACTGTACTTGTGTTATAAAGTTATTTCCACATGTGTGTGTCCATGTCTCTCTTGTCTTTGCAAAACAAGCAGAGCTCATACCACATTCTGGTTTTGTTTTCCCACAGTAAGCTTCAGAGTTTATGTGAATGGAGCCAATCTCTTGTCCCACTGTTCTCTCTTGTGCCTAGGGTTTGTGTGAGTGTGAGAGAGTCTTTGTGTGTGCATGAATGTGCCCAATTGCATGCAACCAACTTTCCATCCCATCCTGTCCTTCTGAGGAGAAATCACCCATGGCTGGTTTTACAGTATCCTGAGAAGAACAAGTGGAGAGGACAGCAGGCAGCAGGGGAGCACTTATCGTCATCTGTTCAGCAGATGGGATATGCTGGACAGCGAACTGCTGTTTGGTTCACTTTTTCATCAAGAAGCTTTTACTTCTCATAAAAAGTTGCATGTAATCAAAACCCAGTACACAATGACAGTATGAACTCCAGTGGAGCTTAGAGATAAATGTAATAGAGATGTAAATAAGTCACTGTAACGCACATCCAATTAAACCAAGAAGAAACTAACTCCCTTCTGTCAGTACAAATACAAATCTTATTTTCAATCATCCTAAGAATGACCTCACTCAGCAGTGGATTCCAGACTGAACCAAAACACATCACACCCTTGCTCAGAAGACTTATTTTCCCAGTAACACTTTGGCATCAGTAAAAAGAAACAGATGAGATTTGTTTAGGAATGGTAAACAATACTGATTCAGATTCATTTTGGAGATTTGCGAAACTGTCTTGACAATCGTAAGACTATTCAGACCGGCAGACAATCACTAAACATGCCTTTGTAGCTCGGCCTAAGCAAACATGTATTTTGCCCCATTACGGAAAAGGGATAAAGTTCTATTTTGTTGACAGTCCTTGTGATGCAACGTAAACAAGTATTTCAATTAGCTTCAAAATGTACTCAGTTTCACACCCTTTCAACAAGTTTCAAGAAAATCGGGCTGCTTTTCCTCAACTGAGTCCTTCGACGATTTATAAATAAGTGTTAACTTCTCTTTAATTCCAGTACTCAAATAGACAAAGAGCAGCAGTAGTTTAGTCAGTCAGTGTGGCTAATTTAACTTTTCAGTTGGTTGCGGAGTAGCTTTTGTTTAAAGATCTTTTTCCAGATAAAGTAAAGCTTTTGTAAATTCAAAGCTTGGACTCTCACGTCATTGAACACAGGCCTGTTTTTTACTGGCACAACCTGAGATTGAGCAACTCCCGAGATAGGATGTATTTTGTTTAATTTCTGCAGAATCCCCTGTTGTTTCAGGATGAAGTCATTCACCAGCATTTGGAACATGTTGCCATTTATAGTTTTTTTTTGTTTTTAGGGATAGAAGTGCTTTGGATGACTCACACTTTTGTTCGGAACATTGACTACAACAAGTTAGGAACAGCACATGACACAAGAACTTCCAATGAAAGATATCCACTCCAGCTAAATCAGGAAGAAGCCTCATAGGCAGGCACGTAAACAAATGTAAAAGTGCCTTCGCAAAGAAAAATTGCCTCATAAGTCATCATAAGAAGACATAACCGCTTGCATGAGTCATACTAAAATCTGCCTTTAAATATTGATTCCAGCTAAGTTACAGAAAGCTCAAAAACTCCCTCAATCATAATCTTTTTAAGACAGAGAGAAAGCTCAGATTTCCTTACGGCCTAAAGAGCAGACGTTCTGGCTGACAATATCTGCTGAAACGAGGTCCGCATTAAATGAAAGAAGTAGCAGAATGCCTCAAGAGTGCAGTTTTCCACCTGCCTTAAAATCTTATTCAACACAATCCGATTGGCCGAGAGAGGAATGTACCCAGCTGCTTTCAACCACTAATTAGGAGCCAACAGGTGATCTGATTTACCTGCAATAGCTCAGAAAATAATGACATTTATCTATTTGAATTGTATGTTTAAATATGCAAATTAGGCATTGTTTTATTGAATATTTTTCTTAGCATCAATCCAAGCATTGGTAAAATGTCTTCAGTTTTTTTTTAGATATTAGTCAGTTCTAACAAAGGGAATTTTGGAAATGTCTTTCAAGCAGGAAAGCTCTTACAAAGAGAAAAATACATGTTTTAAAAATAACATGGTTTATAAATCAGGCTATGAAGGATATACAGTAAAAAGAAACCCGACACAAATGGATAAAACTCAAATTAACCCTTTATTGTGTATTTTTACTACTAGTCTGAAGAACCCTATTGTTTTTGTCTGTAGTGTCTCATCTTAAGAGGCCTCGTTATGTCTGCAGATGAAACTGCTTATATACCATAAGGCAGGTTAAATAAGTAGAAACAAACAAAGCATCTCCACAGCAGCAGAATATTTATGTCCTCCAGTTTTCTACATACTGCAGGCTGCAGAGCGCATTGTGCTGACCACTGCTATGAATTAACTCTGGAGTAAAGACAACAGGATGAGATAACACAGCACATAGGAGACAAATCACACAGAATCCTTTGGTATGTTTTGTCTAGGACCAATATATCCTGCTTCCAGGCAGCAAGAAGGGCCTTTCCCACAACTCACTTACTTTACACAAAACTGAGTTAGTTTGCTACTCTGCTTTACTGTAGAAAAACAGCAACGGCTCTATTTATTACACAGCACTGAAGACGCCTGGAGACTTGCAGAGTGGGAAACATACACAATCTCCACTGAATGCTCCGACATACAACTGTCAGACTGCACACACAGAGCAGCTTAAACAGGCGCTGCTTCATCAGAAAATAGTTTTGTCACAGTGTAAGCTAACCCAAATGTACCATTGAGTAGTATAATGTTACCTTGAAGGATATGGATATTGAATGTAGTGATGATGATATGCATCAGAAGGTTCAATACACTCAGTCATGTAGTCTAGGTAAAAGCAAAAATATTAAAAGGCTTGTAAAGGAGGGTCTTAATGATTATCAGCAGGTTCCTTTCTAATATTACTCAAAATCTTCCTTGAAGAATTTTCCCACACATTTGCAGAAGTTGGAATCGGTTTAATCTCTACTTTCATTTACTTCAGGAAATGGATAAAGTGATTTTGCTCACAGCATCAAGTAGAGAAAACCATTGTCATTGTCTTTGCATACAAACTAGCTATGACAACAAATGTCCACCATCCACAAAGAGTCTAAACCTGGTTTGTAGATTCAACTTGCATGACCTTGTACAATGTTTAACAAACAACATATATACAATTTCAATACACAATGGTTTTATGAGACCATATTCATGTTGCACTGAACAGACCTTGTACAGAACTTACTCATACACAAGCTCGGCACATTAACATAACACGTGGCTGAGATGATGTATTTGAAGCTTACAGTGGTACTAGGCAGACACTGTGCTCGTGCTGAATGATACAGCCTCACAGACCCATCAACAGATCTATTGTTCTGATGCTGCTGATGAGTTCAAATGTGGCATTCACTGCTACAGAGACATTGTACCAGATATACAGGGTAGGGGTGGCAAGTTCGAGATAAATGTATAGAATAATAGCGATCATTTAATAGCAGGCTAGATAGATAGATCCCTAGGCAGATCGCTAGCTTCAGCTACATATGGCTCACTTCGACGACTCACTTCTACTTCTACGTTCTTTTTGTTTAGATTTCCACTGCCGATAGTAACCCCACAATGATGACGTGATAGTGACGCCACGTGAAACTTCCGTAACATCATCTTTAACGCAACACCGTGTAATTAATTTAAGCATCAGCCAAACGTCTACTCTGAGTCACTTGAACAACATAGTGCTGACGTCTTTTCCTGAGGTTGAATAATTACAAACATTGTCACTATTGACAGTAGCGTGTCCCCTGTTGTGGTAGTGACGATTGTCACGAACCAATCATTGGTTGGAAGTGTTGCTTGAACCTCAACCAAGAAGGGACCAAAAAAAAGAACCAGGAACTATCCACAACATTTGCGAACAAAAAACAATTTAAGTTGAGCAGAGTAGTCTCATCCCATGCAGTGGATATGCAGTGGTTGATAGATAGAAAGATGGAGGCCAAGCTAGTTGAAACGATGGATAGAAAGAAAGATTAAAAAACACGTATTTCTTACCCAACACAATCGCCACGGTCTTCAGCAGAGACATCATGGTGTCTCGGTTGCGTCGTTGTCCGGAGCTGTGCCGTGACATCCTCATGGTTCTCTGGCGCACATAGACAAAGATGTGGGCGTATAGCGTCACCATAACAACAAAAGTCACAAGGTTAAACACTGCCCAGAAGATAAGGTAGGAGTTGCTGTAAAGCGGCGCCATGTTGGAACAAGACCTAATACTACAGATGCAGTTCCAACCAACGCTAGGGATGGCCCCCATGACTATAGACATCGTCCAGATTATGACTATCACCACCACCACACGCCGGTTACTCATGCGCGTGTGTAACTGCATGCGGAACACGGTGATGTGGCGCTCAATGGCGATGGCGAGTAGGTTGGCGACAGACGCCGTCAGGCTGGTGTCGATCAAGCCCTGCCGCAGCAGCCATGTGGACACAGTCAGACGCCTCGTGTTGGGCCCCGTGTTGAACATTAGGTAGAAGTAGGCCAGTCCGGCGAAGAAGTCAGCAGCTGCCAGGTTGGCCATCAGGTAGTAGATAGGGAAGTGAAATCTCCTGTTGACGTAGATGGCGATCATCACCAGAAGGTTGGCGAGCATGATGAAGATGCACACGGTGATGCCCAGGCCCATCACCAGCTTGCTCACGGTGTTCCAGTCAGTAGCGAGGTACTTGCCACTGCGGTTGTAGAAGAAGGCGATGCTCTCGTTGTAGTAGCACTGTTCGTCATCCATGGTGGCAGTGGTTTCTGAAAGGAGAAATTATATTAGTTATGTACAAAGAATTGAGCGATTTCTGTGAATTTTCTCAACATTTTGCAATTTTTCGACCAACTCTAGGAATCATCACAACATCCAATAGCAGATATACAGCAATGGGTGCTTTAGTAACCATGTAAAGTATGATAAATGTATTTGAAAATAGTATTTTAAATATGTTTTTGCATGGATGTATGACACAATAAATCACACTAATCAGAATGGCCTCTGAGTTCATTTATCATATGTCAAATTTATAATTCGGTAAAGAATGAGTTAATGCATACAGACTTGGAAAATGCATTGCCTATATTCCTAAAACAGAGCAACGCTTTAGGAGAACATGTCCTGAAACATGGAAAAACTCAAATCCCCTTTGGATTTAGACTCCACATTATAAGTCGTCATTTGTGTGTGTTTGTGTGTGTGGTGCAATGACTGTTTCACACACAAAAAGCAACAATCGTTCACAAATATTTACGAGCTCTACAGTATATGAGCAAAAGGTGTGAGAAAATTCTGAAAACAAACCTTGTATTGTCTACAAGTGACAATTAACAGCAACACTACACAAGGGTTGTGTGTCTGCATGTGTGGGTCTGTGTGCCTGCTTGTGTGTTTATATGTTTCCTGTGTGAATAAACCCCAGTGTGATATGAGTCTGCTTCTGCAAGTTTTACGAATGTCCATAAAAAGAAAGTGGATCAAAAACGGAGAAAACTAAGTTGCATATGACACTTAGAGTCAACTCACACACATATAAACAATGCTCACAGGAACATGTGTGTGTGTAATTAGCTCCAGTCCAATTCAAGTCCGGAAACATAACCCCAGGGCTAGAGTAAGAGTGTGTGTGTGTGTGTATGTAAGAAGGAGACAAAGCAACAGAAGAGGGCAAGGGGTCTAGGAAATAAAGAAAAAATCCTGCATTAAAGTGTTTTTCTTTTGTGGGAATCCTCTCCCAATTCCCCCCTTCTATAAGACAATACAAAGGATCTATTTCCTCTCTGCATTGACAGCAAAAATGTCTGAAAAAAAAAGAACTGCAAACATGAAGGATTTTCTCCTCTTGGGCTCATTTGCAATGTTGGAAAAACAACCTTCCCCTCTCAAAAACTAGCATGAAAAATAAAGGGTGCTCCTGGGAAATGTGTTGAAAGTTATGAAAGAAAGCTGAAGCTTGCCAGAACAATTATGGCAGAGGATCTCTTTATCTCATTGGTAATATACTGTTTTGATGGCTATGATATACAAGAAATGCACCAAAAATAATGGGCTATTGCATATAATCTAAGAACGTGATTTTATATGACTTTGCTTCTGTTCCATAGAACCCCAATGCAATGCATTCAAAATGTATCCCATATTTTAAGAACCATAATCCAATACAAAAGCAACATTTCCATGGTCTATACAGTCGACCTGGCTCAGAATGTCGGCAGCGCACAACATCTTTGTACTTTGCCAAAACGGGTGTGTATTAAGCGTGGCAGTGCACCAATAACAGTATTTAAAGGAAATCAATTAAATAAACCGTCTTCTGGGTTCTGTTTATATGTCCAATTTCCTGAGGCAGGCCGATAAGGGACTCGATCTGCAGCCATGTTTGCTTGGAGTGGATGTAAGATGTTATTTCATTAACTGAAAAAGCAGCGCTACATTTTATTAGCTTTATTACATTATTGCTCGTGCTGAACAGCACCAGGCAGGCCGGATGTTTCTGCTTCATTTCTGCTAAATGGTTTCAGAGGACATGTCAAAAAATAAACATTAGCCACGAATCATTACTTTGATCGTAATCGTAACTTTTCTTCAATACGTGTTATAACTATTGTTTGACATTGGACCATTGCTACTAGCAAATCTAATCTATATATTTTCTTTAAAGAGTTCTCATTCATAACACTCCGTTCGATGTCTCACTATGGGATGCGCCTCAACGTGTATGCAAACAGAAGCATCAATCTCATTTCGCCAATCCTGATTGGCTGGTGATCTTGACGTCTACATCAGGGAATCCACCCACCCTATAAGTAGCTTGCGCTACGACGCAGCGTCATTCAAAAACCTCTTCTCGCTTCAGAGCACATCTCGAATTATCAGTAGCCGGGCTAGCTTAACGGTCCACAGACTGAACCCAAAGCTAACATTCGGTCGACGGGCGCTTGCCGGTTACTTTTTTGCTTTGCAAGAAGACTGAACAATATTAACACACCAGTTAATATTGTAATCTGCCTCGCCGTTTCTTTCTTTCGAAATTACGGTAAGGTTTGATTTTTTTTTCTTCAAGCTAGTAACATACCTGTTGCTAGCTTTTTTTCCCTCCACACCGACACCACGGTAGCGAGGACATTCTCTTTTCTCTCTCACACCAGAGGAGACGGAGATAAAAACAAAAGGTATTAACACACCAGTTAATATTCTTTAAAGAATAAAATCTACGCCGTCGCTTTTTCCTTTCGGATTAACGACAAGGTTGGAGGTTTTTCTTAGTAACGTACCTGTTACTAGCATGTCCACTCCACGCCGACACCCCGGTGAACAAAGATGGACCCTTCTCTCCCTCACACCAGAGGATTAGGGAACTCGGAGGCTCGATATGCGGCTGCGAGGTTTAAGATCTCAGGCACAGACTCAACACCAGGTCTGCTCGTCCTGCCTCGGGCCTGGAACGGCCAGGGAGGCTACGATCAACCCGGCTCGTGGCGGGCATTGTGCCCGCTTCCCCATTAAGAGCCTACGCCGACGGCTAGCACGCCAAGCATAGCTTGTCGGGACAGGACCCCCTCATATCCGCTGATTCCGCCGGCCGCAATCAAAGACATGGGATGTCCGCGCAGAAATGAGCCCCGGCGCCGTGTCAGGCTGGGGCTCATAACAGCGGCAGCACGCTTGAACCGGAGCCCCAGCGCCAGTGTCAGGCTGGGGTCTGGTGGCGGCAAGAGCCCGCGAGAGCGGAGCCCCGCGCTGTGGTCAAGCTGGGGCTCCCCACTGGACCTCACCATGGTTCCACCGCGGAGGATGTCCTGGAGTTGGACTATATGGAGGAGAAGAGGATTCCTCTGAGTTCCTCCTGTCCAAACTCGGATGAGCACGAGGATGACATCTTCGTTTCATCGGCTCAGGCTGCAAAGCCGGGAGCGATGGCTGCTCTCCGGAGCGAAAGCACACCAGGTTCGCCCTGCCTGAGCATGGCCTGCAGGCCCGTGTGTCAACGCGCTGCGTCCAGGCTGGATCATCCCATGGCCCTGAAATGGGCCAAGGAGACTGCAGATCTCGCTACGAGGGGAAGCATTGCCCCAAGCAGCGAGGACGAAGAGGCAGCTCTTCCAGTCATTTCCCGGAGATGCTGGGCGAGGTGTCGGTCTCGTGGAGAAGACCGCCCTTTCAGCAACAAGGCCCATCCAGGGGTGCTCCTCCCTGGACCTGTGACGGTATGGAGAGGCTCGGCCTGCTCGCATGGCCGCCCATGGGAACCAGCTGGTGGCAGCCCCACCTCCAACCGAGGCTTGGCTTCGACACCGAGCAGGAACCCCACGCTACTGGCAAGGCAGACCGTTTTCAGTCAGCGATGACCGAACTGGCCTATAAGCCGCAGCTTTGTCGCCCGGGCCTCAACGTCTCCTCGCTGTGACCGCCTACCAGGCGGAGCTCTGCGAAGACTTGTTGAGCAAACCTGAGGCCTGCAGTGTGGGACGAGATGCGCAGCGATCACGGACATTTGCCTNAACACAACCCTCTCTCTTTTCCTCCATACTCAAATCTCTAAAAACGGGGCTGTAACGGATCTGATACAGACTGATCCAGATGTAGAAAATAATTCAAATCTGGATCAGTCTGTATCAGATCCGTTACAGCCCCGTTTTTAGAGATTTGAGTATGGAGGAAAAGAGAGAGGGTTGTGTTTTCTGACACTTGGTGAGTTCCCTGGAACACCGGGGACACATATTCATGTATAAAAGACGTACAAAAGTGCCTTTTGCATGATAGGTCACCTTTAAGTTGCACGTGCATTGGTGTGATTACGGAGCCAGAAAGCGATGCACGTTTACTCGCGTGCGCGGTGCGCTGTGTGTTTATTTTACAAAAAATGGCGAAGCAAATTAAGTCGTTGACTGTGGGGTAAAAAGTTCAGCCAACCCGTCAACATCTCAAACGAATGTTCAAAGTGATTCAACTGATCAAGTGCAAGGTGAACCCGAACGAAAAGCAAAGAGGAAATGTGTAAAGTCTGCTCTGTTGTGCATTCACTTCTGGTAAAAGTTCCTTCAAAATAAGAGTCCCAACCTTATTACTACCAAAATAAAAGTGCAAAACAAAACTTTACCATAGGAAAATATTGGCATAAAAATATAAATCACTTCTATAAAAAGGTTACACATTTTAAATATAGCTAGACATATTAAAGGTAATTTACAGCATTCATAATTAATATCTAATTCTTAACTGTGAATGGTTTTCATATATTTAACATTAGAAATGTATTAGTATTAGTCTGGCCAATCCAAGACTTCAATGCTGAAGGGCCAATGGATCTATGGTGGGGGTCAGCACAAAGGTCAAGAAAACCCACATTTCAAAAGGCAGACAACAGATGACCAATCAACTAGTGACTTGCTCAATTCATTTGTGAGGGATATGTGAAGAACATGACAACAGCTGCACTACTGGTGTTTTGTATACCAGCAATTGAGGGTGGACAAGTTTACTACCACTTTAGTTTCAAATAATTGTGTTAATTACTTATTGTCAAGCATTTGAACATTCTTTTGTCACATTTTCATTATTAAGTTGATGTATAACTGTATAGTATGTTAATTATTTAAAATATAAGGTGACTATAAATGGCAACCGTATTTTCAGTTTTGGCAACCAAAAGCTGATGCCTGGTTGCCAGCCTGGCAACCACTTTTAAAAGATAGCGTTGAGCCCTGGTTAATTGACAAACATATTACTCGGCATCAGCCTTTTACAAAACAAATCAGGA